CATTGTGATCATGTGATTGCACAGCGATCACATGATCACTGGGTCCTGATTACTGGGAGTCTCATTCCACTGTGTCTGCCCCCATGTGTTAATAAAGCACCAGCGATGTACAGGTACGTCGCTGGTCCTGTAGCTGTATATTGCAGGCGGGCAGCCCAAAATAGGTTAAAAACACTTACAAGATGTAAGAAATAATCTAGCATGTAAAGTATATCTCTCTATATGTCTCACTACCCTGCCCCCCCCCCCCGGATGGTCTTCAGAAATAACATTTAGAGCTCAGCTTATTTCACCTCTACGCGTTCCCCCCTAAGTTCAGGCATCCTCAGTAGTGGCAGTGTTGTATTATCCCATAGAAAGAGGTTGAGAAGGAAAATATTTTTTAATGTGTCAAAAAGTTCTTATCCCTGAAAATAGTTGCGGGGCTGTCTTAAGCTTACACATGGATCTTAGATTTTCATTTAATATCATCACAACCTAAGAGAAACAAACAGCTCCTCTACACAGTAGAATGCACTGACCACAAAACAAAGTTACCGTAGACTTGTGTCCCCGATATATACAAGCTTTTTGACAATTAGCGCAAGCTTGACTCAGAAATGGAGAAATAAAACATAAAATAGATTAAACGCTCAATAGAATGGTGCAGACTGCTATAGTTATGAGGACATTGTGGGAGGCTCAAAATATCTCTCTTAGAAATGGTTTCAATTGATTATAACAACAATCACAAAGCTATGAGAAATATATTTCAATAGCTGCAATAACAGTGTTTCCATTTTCATGTGAGAAACATTGAAAGGCTCCAGAATAATTTTTGGCAGAACAAAGGAATTACATTAAATTGCATGTCATTCAATGCTCTATTTTAAAAGGACTAGAAATAAGAAGGATGCCCGGCTTTGAAAAATGTCCATAAACACTATAGAAATTGCTTACAATGTTGGAACCGTAAAATGCACATGCTTTTAGCGTGTATTTCTAAGCACATTGTGAGAGCACACTTCAGTATGAATGCATGTCAGCTATTAATTTTGTGGGATATCACAGAAAATGGACAGTGTTTTATTGTGTGATACACATATTCATCTCTTGGTCCACTGCTCTATATTTGTAGTAAAATGGTAAGTGCCATAGCTCATACTTTCAAGTGGACATGAATAAAAGCTTTACATACTTACTACATTAGCCCCCCATATGAAAATTGATTTTCACTTAACAGGGTTGACAGTAAGCACAAATTAAACGTTCTGTAATCTCTATTGTGGCACCACAGTAGAAGTTGTCTTAATAATCTACCGTATGTATATTATTAGGGGTGCGTTGGCACCATAGATCCACCTTCTCTTCTGCAAAATCCATTGCTGCTGCAGGTGGGTGAAGAAAACAGTACAACAGAAACATATATGTGAGAGGCCCTGGCACTATGAGAATATAGCAAGATGTAACACAGGATTCACACTAAGGGTTAATGCAACATTCCAGACAATAGTTTCTGAGCAGAGAAAGGTGTGTTTTTGGTTTTCTCTGGATTCTTTAGTTCTGGATTAGAACTTTCAACCCTGTGTCCAGGTTTTTACCAGTCGCCTGCAACCTGCCTGAGTGGGCAGGTGTGTAGGGTCATTATACACTTAGGTTTGAGGATAGCTCAGAGCTGCAATTTGCTCCCAGTGTGAGAGATGGAAGATCTCACCCAGGGTCAGGGAGCCCCAGCCAGAAGCCACAAGACAGAGGGTCTCACCCATGGGTCAGAGATACCCCAGAGGGGAAGCCAAGAGACAGAAGGTCTCACTGAGGGATCAGAGGTGCCCCAGACAAAAGACAAGAGACAGAGGGTCTCACTGAGCAGTCAGAGGTGCCCCAACCAGAAGCCAGGAGACAGCAGATCTCATTTCAGGAAACAGGTTGGTTCCTGTCGGGGTGGCAGGAGAACTCCAATCCATAGGGCAAAGGAGGTCCATGCAGCAGGGCTCTGTGACTAAAGGCCAGAGAGCCAAGTATCGAGAAGAGCTGGACAACACAGTCAGAGAGCTTGGTAAGAGGTGCAGCGTGGTACTGCAGTTGAATTGAGATGATGACCCAGGTGGCTTGACATTTTCCAGTGTTTGTATTCTGCTGAAGCTGGGCAAGATCCTCTGAGTGGGACACTTTATGTTGGACTTTTGTTTCGCATTCTGCCATTTAATAAGTGGGCTACCAGGCTATAGTATATATATATATATATATATATATATATATATATATATATATAATAAATAAAACAATATATAGTACATACATAGAGCAACTGAACTGATGATCCCCTTGACAGGAATTCTGACAGATTGTCCACCTTCCTTACTTACTACAGGAAACCCATGCTTGGATAAATATTTGGGCGGCAATGAACTTTCCTACATATTACTTGAATCTACTTTCAGTCCAATGTCCAACAATGTCCAGGCTCCCCCCTTTCCACCTCTGGTGATATGTCCCTGTGTGTTTTATTATGCCTTTTGCTATGCCACATGATTGTTTTGCTTTGTTGATTAGTAAAGTTAGTCTGTGCTATAAGCAATGAAGCTTGGATCTCTGTGGTATATTAATGTGCTTTTTAAACCAACATACAAACATTTACAATTATAGGAATACAATACAAGACTGACAGATATACATATAACAAGCAAAATGCTACCTACTTCCTAGCAAATAAGCAAATCTGTATACAATGGAAGTATGCTAAAAGGTTACTTAATTCATGTTAAGATGGGTTCATGATCTCAGCAGGCAACGAGTACCGGGCTTACTCTACAGCAGTAACAGGAGATCGAGCACAAATGTCTTATTCTTCCGTCAGAGGTCGCCTTTGGTGTTAAGTCATCTTAGAGGCCTTCAGTTTCTGTTGTTGGCCTTTTATTTAAAAAGCATGGATAGCCAATCCCACATGGGTGTGGTCCCTTTTCCTGCCTTATTTACAGTGTCATATATAGGTGAAACACTCTCCAATTCACCCTCTACATGACACTGTTGTATCATACATGCCATAGGTCATATATGTCAGAAGGTCAAGCTATTGTTTACCATTGCTTAACTTGACTTGTTGATTTCAGTTACATAATTAAATGTAGAACAATAGAAGAACCCAATATACAAAAATGGTATCTAAATTCTCATTGTTGTCTCTCGAGGTCTCCTGTGGGGCAAGTGGGATGATGCGAGGTCGCTTGTCCATTGTTTATGCTTCGTTGGTTGATCCCCTCACTAAATTATCTTACATGACTCTATGGGAACGGGATTTAAATAGTTTGTTAGATTTAGATACCTGGCGGACTGCGGCCCATGCCCTATCGAAGATTTCGATTAACACTGATCTTGTTGAATCTAACTACAAAACGCTACTTCGATGGTATTTGGTTCCTGCTCGCCTAGCCATAATGTATCCTTCTGTTTCATCTGGCTGTTTCTGACGCTGTGGTCAAGAGGGTACCATGTTCCACGTCTGGTGGAAATGTCCAGTTGTGAGTAGGTTCTGGATCCACATATTTAATTTTCTTTACTCAGTGACAGGAATTAGTATCCGTAGATCGCCGGAAGTGGCCTTGTTCAATATAATACCCTCTGATGTTCTCAAAAAATCGATTAAATAAATTTTATATATAATACTGGCGGCTCGCATTACCATAGCTCGAAGCTGGAAACAATCCTTGATCCCGCTGGATAGAGTGAAACAAAAACTTAACTGGATAATGGTTAATGATAAACTGACGAGTATTGTCACTGACGATGTGTCCAGATTTGAGGACTTGGGAGCCTTGGATTAATTATATTACTGTATAGTGAGTGTCTGGCAGCTGATCCCCCCCCCCCCCCCCCCCCTCTTATTTTCTTTTTTTCATTTGGGAGTAATTTCCTTCTTCGTCTCTCTCTTCCTCTCTTTTTCTACTTTTTTCGTTGAGCTTTTTTTTTTTTCTGTCACTTTTGGTTCATTTTGGTTTAATTTTTGTTTATTGATTTATGAAACCTGTACGTCCTGATGGCTATGACACTTTTTGTGTGAATTGTAATGCTATTGTCTGATAATCTTTTTACGTACCTATAAGTGTTATGATTCTGATTCTACATCTTGTTCCACCATGCGGGTGGGCCTTTTCTTTTGTTTGCCATCTTGTTTTATGCTTTAATATGCTTGTTTCTCAATAAAAATATTGAAATATAAATTCTCATTGTTGTAGAAGACTTGTAATTGTTACCAAGGCATTTGTTTGAAAAGTCCACTTAACTGCTTCCCCACTGCCCTATAGCATAATTACTGCTACAGGGCGGCAGGGCTGCGCAAAATCACATATACATACATGATTTTGAATTTCCGGGTAAGGGGCATGCGCATTACTAGCATATAAAAAAACTAAATTCTAGTATATATACTGCCATTTGTAGATGCTATAACTTTCACGTAAACCAATTAATTTACATATATTGGGATTTGTTTTCGCAAAGACATGTAGCAGAATACATTTTGGCCTAAATGTATAATGAAATTAGATTTTTTACATTTTTTACTGGATATGTTTTATAGCAAAAAGTAAAAAATATTGTCTTTTTTTTTTTCAAAATTGTTGGTCTATTTTTGTTTTTAGTGCAAAAAAAAAATGCAGAGGCGATCAAATACCACCGAAAGAAAGCTCTATTTATGGGAGAAGAACACACAAATTTAATTTGGGTACAGCGTTGCATGACCACGCAATTGTCAGTTAAAGTGACGCAGCGCCGTATCGCAAAAAATGGCCTGGTTAGGAAGGGGGGTAAAGCCTCTGGAGGGCAAGTGGTTAAACATTCAAAAGTAATCTGATTTCTGTATTTAAGACAAACAAACAAATAGATCCTTTCATGTAACTCTTAGAAAAAAAATTATAAAACTGACATATCTGTGTCAAATGCAATACATTCCATCCTTGAATTTCTCTCAGACCACACAGAAAATCACTTTATTACTAAAACTCATACTAAATATTCTTTCACCTTTAATGTAACCTCTTTCCATATTTCTGCCACTGAGGTGTTTTAGTCTTTAACAAGAGTTCATTATAAAAATGTCCATTTTGAACAAGTCCAGGTTTGTAAAACATCAAAGGCCTTGCTCTCCACAGCTCTTGCAGTATCTCATCATTCTGTTCATCATGAAGCCACTTTCTCTGACCTTCCCTTTGGATCAAATCGGAGCCAGCCTATGGAGTGGAAAATAAAGTGGATTATCTGTTCCTTCTAATAATACATACACAGTAGACCCTTGCTCTGCAGGTACAATCTCTCCTCTAACTGGCTGTTTTGCTTTGCACCTATTAAGGCTCTTGCGATAAAAGTCAAGGAAACTTAGATCTCTGTAGTGTATTAATATTTGCTCTACTAAACAGGAAAAGTCTGCACATAAAACTTTAGGATACACAAATAATAGCAAAATATGGCAACAACATGCACAAGCTATCTATGTGATATACACTAAAACAGCTACTTAACTTGGACTTTCCATTGATGTAATCTTCTTCAAGGTTCCTTCAGAGTCCAACTGATTCCCCATATGTCTTCACAACAGGTGTATCCTCCTTTGTCTCTCAAAACAACAGCGTTTCAAAGTCCAGAACAACCCTTGCTCTTCATCAAAGTCCCAAAACCAACTCTTTCTTTATCTTCTCACCATATGGTTGTTCAATAGTCCACCTTCCCTCCCCCTGCTACCTAATTTCCTGTAAGGAGCTTCCTGTGCTGCTCATAAACCAGTCTGAATGGTTCATTGCAAATATGAATGGGAGAGGCCTTAGCTTCTTAAACAACGCATGGTCTTAAAATCTAACAATTTAACAAATATCTAAGCTATAAAAATCACAAAATAATAGCCAAGCAACACACTGGCTTCTTGTCTGGATCTCTGACCAACACTTTGCCATCTGCCTGTATCCACTTTTGATCGTCCCAAAGAACATCGATAGGGAGGAGAGGAAATATATTGATATCTCCCAGAAGATCACCGCTGTTAATTTTTTGGACGGTTTGATGTTATAGAGCCTCACTTTCACTTCCACTGTTGCTGAGAAGTGTCCACTAACCAGTCAGAGTCCCAGCCACTGTCTTGAAGCTCATCTGCCAATGAAAATATAAATTCAAAGCTTCCTTCCAGATTCCCTCTCATTGTTAGATATGCTTCAGCTTCAGATATGGAACTTGTGGTGTTTATGTAATGGGAAGCAGTAACTTGGCACCTGGTAAACACTGTTCTTTCAGGAACCTTACATAAATACTGAACTCTGCACTCCAGCTGAGGAATCTGTGCCCCTGCCCCCACCATTCTCTCATATGGTGTACTTTTGGCTATTGGCCTAGAATTTAACAACAGAGCTGCCTGTGTAGGGACCTGTGTGTGTAAGTTTTCATATCTGGTGCTTCAATAGCCTGTTGTATCTTTCAATCAAACCAGCTGCCTGTTGATGGTATGAGATGTGGCACAACCAGTACACTTCAGAATCTTTGGCCCATTGCTATACTGTTGAAGAGGTGAAGTGTGAGCCATTATCACTTTGGACTTGTTTGGGACAGCCATAAGCAACGACAAGTTTCTCTGAAGCAGTTGAAGTGCTGCATGTTTGCAAGGATGAACATGCAAAAATCCTGAATGGGTGTCCACTGCAGTGCAACAATATCTCAGTCCATTGTTTCCCTGGGGCAAGGGACAGATGAAGTCAATCTGCCAAATCTCTGCAGGCCTCTAGCTCCTGACCTTCTGGAGTACTTTTGCATTGGCCATTGTCGCACTTCTCCACACACTGTACAGTGCCCTATTGCAGCCTTTATAATGTAATAGATACAGGCAATCCTCTCTGCTGTGCCCATTAATATGTTGCTTTCTGCCCCAAATGTCTAGATTGCCTGTGGGTCCAACTGGACAAGTTCATCAGGACAGGATCAATTAGCACAACTGCATTCACCTTAGTGATTTCATCTGCCACTCTGTTATAGTTCTGTAAGTCTGGGACTAGGGGCTCATGTGCATCAACATGCCCTACTTTTATGGTGTGGGAGTAAACTTCCTTCCAGATGTAGTCCCAGATTTCCTTGCCTCCCCATACCACCTTTCCATGAATCATCCATTCATTGGACTTCCAAGTGGGCATCCAACTTGTCAGTCCCTTAAAGACATCCCAGCTGTCAGTGTATGTCAGGAATGGACTAGCCAGCAATGGTGGGACTCACCTGCCTTTTGATCTGCAGTACCAGGGCTGGCCAGCGGATGCTCCCAGCAATCAGAGACTCAACTTTGCAGCCAGCTAACACCTGGAACTGATTATGCTGGGGTATTTAAGGGATGGCCAGACTTGCAGACTCTGCCTTGGTGTTGTGTTTCTCTTGGGCCCTGTATCCTGTCCCTGCTCTCTGTTCCTGTCTGATTCTCTGCTACCTGTTCTGATCCCTGGCTTGTCTGACCATCCCTCTGCCTGACCCTCTGTACTACGCTGCCTGCTACCTGTTCTGATCCCTGGCTTGTGACCCTGACCATCCCTCTGCCTGACCCTCTGTACTACGCTGCTAGCTACCTGCTGAACCTGGCCTGTGACCCCGACCAAATCTCCGCTTGCTCCCCCTGTACCTACCTGCCCTATTGATATTGACCCGGCCTGCCTGACGACGCTTGCTTGTATGTACTGTTATCTGTGGGTGGTTGGTTTGTTTGCACTGTATTATGTTTAGTATTGCACTGCGTTTATGTTTGTATTGTTAGTGTTAATAAATTATATTGTTTATCACATATCTGAAGTCTGCGTTTCCCTGCGTCAGTCACACACCTCTGGTCACACCTGGGAGCCCTGACAGTGTAGATAGTGACATGGGAAGAAGGATCCTCCTGAAAAGTCATTACTACAGTTTTCAACTCTGCATACTAACTGGACCCTCCAATTATGGTATTCTGCAGGACTGTGTCTGTACACAGGTTGCAGGATGCTGCTGTCCATTGACTCCCAGAAGAGGTGACTATGGCTGAGCCATCAGTGAACCATGCTGACTTTTTCATGTCTTCTGCCAGATTCAAAAGTTGGAGTCTCTTGAATGGGGAATGACTGCAGCACAGGAATTTCTTCTGGCTGGGTGCTGGTAAAAGTGACAAGCCTTGTCAACTGTTTTGAAATACCACTTCCATTTCATCAGTGTCTGGTTCTGTGCTACAGTTGCCCTAGTGGTCAGTCCATTATCTTTCACCCATCCTGCTATTGGCAGTGCAGTATGGATGATGACTGGGCCCTTTCCTGTAATGGTATCTACCTATTTTAGTGATATCTAGGCCCCAAACAAGTACTCCTCTAGGGGCATGTATCTCTTCTGTGCCCCTGTCAGTTGCTTGGACCAAAATCCAATGGGTATTGCTCTCTGTCCTCTCTTTTCATTTGGCTGCCACAGGCTCCAAGATATGGTACCAATCTGCTCCACTACATCCAGCTGAAATGGTATCCCTTGTCTCATGGATCCATATCCAGAATGCTGCAAAATAGCTTCTTTAGCCTTAAGGAATGTGGTCTGCTGCTCTGAACCCCATGAAAACTCTTTCCTGGTAACATTGTATACAGGCCTCAGGATAAGTCCAAGATGTGAGATTACCGATCCCCAGAATCCCACAACTCCAATGAACTTCTGTGCCTCCTTTTTGGTAGTAGGGAGCGACAGTTCCTGGGTAGTTTGAACATCTATCTCTGGAATTTTCCTTTGTGGCCCAGTCCACATCATTCTCATGAACCTCACCCATGTGGCAAGTCTTTGTGTCTGTTGATAGCCCATCCTCTGTTCTCCATGTGCTGTATCACCAGGTGCCGTGCTTCAGTTACATCTTCTTTTGTCATAGACATCATGATGTCATTGATGTAGTGAAATACAGCGACTTTCAGATTCACTGTACTTAAATCTCAGGCAATCAGTCCATGAAAAACGGTTGGGGAATTAACATACTCTTCTGAAAGCACGGTGAAAGAGTACTGGTGGCTAGAGATGAGCGAATTATTTAAAAATTCGATTCGGCTGATTCGCCGAATTTGAGGAAGAAATTCGATTTGATGCGAAAATTAGTGCAGAACACTGTACCTTTAATTTAAATGCCCTTGGAGATGAGGAAGGAGAAGGAGAAGGAGAAGGACGAGAAGAAGGATGAGAAGAAGGAGAAGGATGAGAAGGATGAGAAGAAGGATGAGAAGAAGGAGAAGGATGAGAAGAAGGATGAGAAGAAGGAGAAGGATGAGAAGAAGGATGAGAAGATGAAGGAGAAGGATGAGAAGAAGGATGAGAAGAAGGAGAAGGATGAGAGAAGGAGAAGGAGAAGGATGAGAAGAAGGAGAAGGAGAAGGATGAGAAGAAGGAGAAGGAGAAGGATGAGAAGAAGGAGAAGGAGAAGGATGAGAAGAAGGAGAAGGAGAAGGATGAGAAGAAGGAGAAGGAGAAGGATGAGAAGAAGGAGAAGGAGAAGGATGAGAAGAAGGAGAAGGATGAGAAGAAGAAGGAGAAGGATGAGAAGAAGAAGGAGAAGGATGAGAAGAAGAAGGAGAAGGATGAGAAGAAGAAGGAGAAGGATGAGAAGAAGAAGGAGAGAGAAGGATGAGAAGAAGAAGGAGAAGGATGAGAAGAAGAAGGAGAAGGATGAGAAGAAGAAGGAGAAGGATGAGAAGAAGAAGGAGAAGGATGAGAAGAAGAAGGAGAAGGATGAGAAGAAGAAGAAGGATGAGAAGAAGGAGAATTCCAAGCCGGCAAAAAGTGTATCTGCAGAGCTCCGCTATTTCTTAGCGGAGCTCTGCAGATACACTTAGCGGAGCTCTGCAGATACACTTTTTGCCGGCTTGGAATTCTTCTTATTTTCATCCTACTTCTTCTTCTTCTTCATCCTCATCCTCAGAAGAAGAAGAAGAGGATGAGGATGAAGAGGAAGAAGAAGAAGAAAGAAGAAGAAGTAGGATGAAAATAAGAAGAATTCCAAGCCGGCAAAAGTGTATCTGCAGAGCTCCTCTATTCTGCAGATACACTTAGAGGAGCTCTGCAGATACACTTTTTGCCGGCTTGGAATTCTTCTTATTTTCATCCTACTTCTTCTTCTTCTTCTTCTTCTTTTTCTTCTTCTTCATCCTCATCCTCAGAAGAAGAAGAAGAAGATGAGGATGAGGATGAAGAAGAAGAAGAAGAAGAAGAAGTAGGATGAAAATAA